CCCCAAAACCCCAAAACCCCAAAACCCCGGGATGGAAGAGATGTGTTGAAGGGAAATTTTAGGAGATTTGGGGGTGAGTGGTTGGGAATTGGGTAGAGTTAAGGTTGGATTTGGAATTCGATGTTGGATAGGTCGTATTTCTTGATGATTTGATCGATGGTGTCTTCTTCGATTGAGCATGAATATAAATTTATTTCTGAAAGAGTTTTCTTGAGATCAGTTTTCAAAAGAGCTTTAATCAGAATCTCAAAATTTTCAGGATTTGCTTCCCAATCATTGAAAGCAGGCGATCCTAAATCTTCAAAATTTATCTCCTTGATTGTAGTTCCTGAAAGGGATCTTCTAAAATTTGGAACTTCGTGTAAAATGAGCTTTCATTCAACAAATCATATATTTGGAATGAACTTAATGGCTGCTAAAAGTCTCTTCATTTGAGGCTCATTGATTTTAAAATTCCAGATTGTTATTTCTTTATAAATTTTATGACTAGCATGAATTATTTGAGGTAGATAATTCTTAATATTTGTCAAGCTCAGAATTCTTAGAGTAAACCTATCTAGCTTATTTAGAGAGCCAATGTCTCATTATATCTCTTAAGCTCTTACTATTTAAGGGACAATCATAGAGTTTGAAATATTCCAAGTTAATCAACTGAATTTTCTGAAATTTTTTGACAAAGAGGAGACTGTTCTTATTCTTCATCCAAATAAATATCTTGCCATCAAAATAATTCTCAATCTGCTCATCTAAATTCTGAACACTAATCTTCATATTATTAAGCCCATAAATCCATAACTTATCTAAAATCTCCTCTACTTCCTCTTCAGTTTCCTGCTCCTTCTGCTTACAACTTTTACTACTCTGTCCTCCTTCTACAACATTAAATTTATGTTGGGAAACAAGATTACCAAGAATGAGCTCGGAGATAGACCTGAGAAGGATAGGGCTAGGATCTCTTTGAAGAAACCATCCTTGTGCCCCATGAAGTCATTGGAAGCAAGGATATTTGAGTTTTAAAGTTTAGAAGTGCCATGGGGAATTTGATAATTTTTAGAATGTGACAAACTTTGTTAGAGTGGCAATAATTTATAGAGAAATACAATATTTCAATGATTTCTACATAGCCAAGAATTCTTATCAATGGAGGTGATATTCTTTTGAGATTAGAGAATACATCTAGAGAGTAACATTTTTGGTAAAAATATTCCCTATAGTTAAAATCCTTTTCTCTTATAAAGTAATCATAGAAAATACCTCATTTCTCTAAAAATCATTACCATTCTCCTAAAATCTTACCCCAATCCCCCTCCAACCCACCATCCTTCCCTCCAATACCTCCTGCAGCCACAAGAACCCCCTCATATCCCCATCCTCTCAACTCTCCCTCCTAACACATTCTTCCCTTCCTCCTTCAACACAATCTTTAACTATAAGCATCCCTCAATTCCTTCTCCAATATAAATTTCTTCCTTACTAGTTCAAACCTTGCTGCTTGCCTGACCTTCTTCTTGTTCTAGGGGAGATTAGAGTTGGGAGTATAAGGTTGGGGATTTTAAGAGAAGAAGAAAATTTGGGGAAATTGGGGTGGGGGTGGGATTAGGTGAGGTAGGGGTGAAGGGGTACAAAGGGATTTATTGGATGTTTTGGGAGGTTGATAGTGGAGAGTGGTTTAAATGGAGAGTATTGAGTGTAGGGAAATAAAAATGGGAAAATATTGTGATTGAGGGTTAGTTACCTTCAGTTTTTAGAGGGTTTATTATTTCAGGTTTTTGTCAGAATGTTGGGTGATGTGTGATAAGGATGTTATGAATGGTTTTATCAAGAGCTCTAAGTCTTATGAAAGTTTGAGGATTAGTATTCTGTGAAATGTTCATTTCAATTTGGCCAATATCTTCCTTTATTTTATATACAGCTTGAAAGATCTGCTTTAGTCTCTTTACAAAACTCTGAGACTTATTAAATGTATATTCTTTAAGAATCTTTTCTATATATTTAATAATTTCTTCAAGTTCTTTAAGCCTTCACAACTTAGAATCATCTTCAGTTAAACCAATAGCATCATTTATACCCTACACAATCAATTTTCTCCCAAAGAATCATCATTCCAAGTCTCATCTCCCTCAATCTCTCCACTATCCAACCCAAATCCTCTCTCATTTTCCAATTTCTCCATTTCTAATTAATACTACAACCCCTCTCTCCCCCCTCGGGGTTTTGGGGTTTTGGGGTTTTGGGGTTTTGGGG